CCGAGCTGTTGGCACCTTTAGCCAAGCTGCTTATGCCTCAAACCCCATCCTTGGAGCTTTTCCGGACCTTCCCGTCACCAACAGGGTGGGCTGGACACTATTTGGAGCCAGATTGTGCAGCACACGGAGTGTTGAGGGACGCAGAAGCTGCTTTGTTTATAGAATATGATGGCTACTGGCGGCATCGGGAAAAGGCGGGCGTTAAGATGGACCAGTTGAAGAATTCGGCTTTGTTAGCCTTTGCCCCTGCTGGTTCCAAAGTCATTCGGATTGGCCACAAAATGAGCCAACGGGGCAATTGTGATGCAAACATTCTTTGTGTTTGTGTGGATACCTGGCGTCTAGGTGATCAAAAAGCTCTTACATTCACCTTCGGCCAGCTCTTGGTGCAGATGGTTGATGGACTTCAATCGGCTTTGAACCAAGAATTGCTGAGGAAGTTGCAGGGGCAGACAGGGAGGAAAGTGCTACATCTAGCAGTCGATTCAAAAAGCATTATTGATGCAGCTATGAAGGCAAAAGGGCGGAACACGAAAGAGGAGATCTCCACATTTTTGCATGGTCAGGGATTCACTGCGATCCACATTGGCATGATGCAAGAAAGCAAGTTGTTAGCTGGGCAAAGCATTGACCTCAATCTGAAGCCAAAGTTAGAATGGCTCTCACAGCAAGGTCTAAACAAGAGTCAGACTGCCAAAGCTGTCTCCGTTTACCCTAGCATCCTTGGATGCAGAATTGAACAGAACCTGAAACCGACGGTGCAATGGCTGTTGGATTTGGGTTTGAGCAAGAGTCAAGTTGCCAAGGCGGTGGCCACATTCCCTGCAACTCTTGGACTAAGCATCGAGCAGAATTTGAAGCTGACTGTTCAGTGGTTGTTGGATCTGGGTTTGAGCAAGGCTCAAGTTGCCAAGGCGGTGGCCACTCATCCTGCAATCCTTGGATACAGCATGGAGCAGAACTTGAAGCCGACAGTCCAGTGGCTTCTGGATTTGGGTCTTAGCCAGACTCAAGTTGCCAAGGCGGTGGCCACATTCCCTGCAATCCTTGGATGCAGCATCGAGCAAAACTTGAAGCCGACAGTCCAGTGGCTTCTGGATTTGGGTCTTAGCCAGACTCAAGTTGCCAAGGCGGTGGCCACTCATCCTGCAATCCTTGGATACAGCATCGAGCAAAACTTGAAGCCGAAAGTCCAGTGGCTGTTGGATGTGGGGCTCAGTCAACATCAGGTTGCAAAAGCAGTCGCTACTCATCCTCCAGTGCTGGGATACAGTATTGAGAACAATTGTAAGCATAAATATAATCTGCTGGTTGGTGCCTTTGGTCTGAATTTTTCAGCGCAACTGATTGCCAGATGTCCACAAATTCTGAGCTACAGCCACGACCGGCTTACCTGGCGTTTAAGTGTTCTAGCAGGCCGAAATGAGACCATGAAACTGGTTCCTGCAATAAGTCTTACTCCCGATGCTTTCCAGAAGCGTTTCCCTTGTGATTGAGTTCACTTGGCGCACGTAGAATCCTGAACCGCCAAACACAGTCACAAAAACGCAATGAAACCTGTGGGCTGTCCCTCACGTGTTGCAGCTTTTGACCCACACCTGACTTTATGAAGTCATGGCAAGTTGTGTTGGCATACTACTACGGAGATGCATATTCTTCTTCACAGCTCGTATTTGCTTGTCGTGAGCAATTGAGAGGGTGGGTAAAACAATTGAAAGTCCAGGCTGTTTGGGTTCTAGGAGGCACCCTCCGGATGGAGAATCCATAGACCCTTCAGGATGGGTCCTTTGGGCAACCTGGAGATCGGCCTGTTCGACGTCTTGAAGTCGTCGAAGGTGACCTTCTCGACCAGACCTTCTTGGAATGCCAATTCTTGGAGTCTGTATTTGTTTTAGAAGATCAATCCATGGACATGGCTGGACAGACCATGAAATTCGCTACAAAGGGGATGAGCTCCATGAAAACCAAGTGAAAGTTTGGGCTTTGTTCCCGTTTGGGCTCCTGGCCTACCTCCGTTTCGGTTTGGTGGGCCAGGAGTGGGTGCGTTTGTGGGGGTTGTGGCCACTTTGTGAGCATATGGGACAGGAGCCCTAGGGGTCATAAGTTATAAGAATAATCTCCGTCCAGAAGCCGTTTGTTTGTCCGTTGGTGGATCCATAGATACAGTGCGAAAGGCCCATGAGTCTTTGTGATTCTGGTGATCAATACGTGTTCATTGAAAGCCACTTGATTGCTTGGCATGGAAAGCACCTGCAGGACCCGCAGAGTCTTGTGACAGAAGCAGGATCCACATGTACATGATCAAAGGCGCAATTTACATCTATATCTCCAGCCAAATTCAACAAAAACAAACAAGGTTGATCACACACTAGGTCTTCACAATCCCAGCTCAAGTACTTCCCCAATGTTCCTCTCTACAACCCCCCTTATAGATCTTTTCCACACCATACCATTTGACTGGTCCTTTCTGTCCAGTCCGAGCTCGCAGCACTCCACTTGCGCACTCCTTGCTCGCAACAGCTACAGCCTCCAGCCTCCTTCGGCTGCCTGTGTCCCGACCCAGGAAGCCGAACGCCATCACCTATTGCAACCTCATCAGCGCCTGCCACGCTCAGGACGGGGACGGAGGGATTCCGGGTGCTGACCACAGGACAAAGTGAATCACCTGGCGCCAGAGGCTGTGTTTTTTAGAAGGGGGATTGGGGGGTGTCACTGGTGTCACCGGTGTCACTAGCCCTTTTCGAATCCACCCTCTCCACCGGTCAGAGATGAAGATAGATCATAAGAGCTGTGAAGCGGAAGGGCCGTTTGGAGCATCCATTCATCGTTGCAGCCACCGGCGCCATCCTGACAGGGTGATAAAAGGATCCCAGATCGGTGCATGGGATGTTTTAAGAGTTACCATCACGAAGCAATGGACCCTCCGACAGGTCGAATGGCACTTCATGACGTCGTCGCTGTTTTTCCACCGCACCCGTCGACCTGCCGGGGTCCATGAAGAAACCTCGTCCTCGGATCTCTGCGGGGTCGAGGTACGGTGCTTCCCCCCGTCGTGATCCACCGCCGCGCGGACCGCGCGGTCCGCGGGACTCGCCCAGGAGTGGCGGCGGTCTTTGGAGCTCTTCGCCACAGCGAACGACGAGCAGCAGCTGGATGTGATGCTCTTCAATGCCACGTTTTCTCGGCCCAAAGTGAAGCGAATGGATGCGCGGAAGAAGCGTCTTCTTCGTGCTGCAGGTTGTTTTCCATGTGTTTTGTTGGTGATTCATGTGACATTTCGTGCTGCATCGAGCAGCATGCTAAGCTTTAACCGAGCCTTTCACTTGCTTCGTTTGATCCTGAGGGTCCACCTTTTCACCGCGCCCGGCCGAAGGGTACAGGGGTTCCACGGTTAGACCGTTGGTTCGAGTCATTCTCGAGGGATCCAATGGCACCTTTGAAACAAAGGTAGGACATGGTAGGACTGTATGCTTCCATAAAAGCTGTTTCAGTAGAGAAGTGTCAAGTTGAAAATAGTGTCTCCAATCACCTTCTCTAGAGGGTCCAAGGTGGATCCGGACTTGTTTGAAGCCATGGCGCCACATGCTGGGCCGGCTTGGGCTGAACTGTTTGCTTCGCCTTTTCTTCCAAAGACCGGGTCAAAACCTGGAGCCCGGGTTAACGCTGATAGGTTGACCTCTGCAGTGATCACCAGCGGAACTGTCTTCAACTTCCGACTGAATCTTACCGCTCGTAGACCAAAAGTCAAAGGTGCTGCTTTTTCCGTTTCAAGAGACCGGGTCGCGTTTGACCACCAGCCGCGAGCCCCAAAAACGGGAATCGGGAAACCTCAAGTCGATGGATTCTCCTTTGAAGGGCTTTGGACTTGGCACCGGCAGACGTCCGGCGTGGTGCTCGCGTCTCATGGTTTTGGTTTTGCAGATCGGGTCAGGTGTTCATTTTTCCTAGACCTAATGGGTGAAGCCCATTCAAGGGCATATGATGGAATAGGTCTTTTTGTGTCCCGGTGAAGATGCAGCAAATCCAAGTGAGGCTCTCTGCCCTACCATGGTTTTCAGCCCTTCGGTTGCTGAAGAAGGTGGCCCAGCTCCAGCTGCAGGACGGAGACGAGAAGAGAGGGTCGTTGTTGTTTTTTAAATCCACCATGTTTTTCTGGCGGAGCAGGTGGTCAGTTGCGTCTTACAAATGGTGGAACTTCTGTGTAATTAGAGGAATGGGCCATGGGGGATGGTCAAAGTCACATGGTTAGTCAGTATTGCAAGCTCTTCCGATTGTGAGCAGCCTGCTACCCTGCTTCATCATTCATGCGTAGAGAATGTCACGGTGATGCCCTATGAAAACAGCTGAGGTCCATACCGTTGAGCCTCTTTAGGCACATCGTGGGGCTCATCCGGATCGTTTTATTGGTCACGTGCTCATCTTTGGAGCTGTGTTGAAGGATACTGCCGCGCAGTTGGAGTCCGAATTGATGTTTTTGAACGTGTACCAGGACCCTCCGACAGGTCACCAATAGAGACCTGTTAGGGCCTAACAACCCTCAACTAACAGCCTGGCCAGGAGGGTGCTGGTACTTGTTCTTTTGTCTGGGAGTCCGGTGATTTTGGACGTAGATTGCGCCAGACAACAGCGACAGCCCAGCTGGTTTGATGGTTCCTGGTGACTCGGTCAGTGACTTGCATTTGCTGCAGCAACTCATAGACCTACCCAGGAAAGATGGAGCATGCAAAAGTCTACAAACAACCTTGTGGATAATTGGGGACACCCCACGAAACAAAACAACAGGTGAGCAGCGTTCGGTCAAGCTTTATTTTTCGGGACAACAGCTCGGGGGTCAGATTTGCAACTGCTGCAACTCAGAAAAGGATTCATCCTGGGCGAGGTCCCCGGCTGCCCACTACCTGAGGGCATCTCCACAAAGGACATCCTATCCCAAACGGATGGTGGATGATGGTGGTATAGGTAGAACTGGTAGAACTCCAGTGCCTCCTTCAGCAACTTGAGGGTGCAAAAGAACGCAGCTGTGAGGCCAACATCATCTCTTACAACTCCACTCTTCGCCACTCGGAAGACAGCTGTGAGGCTCAACAACAGGCTCAACAACTAGGCCAAAGGTGAAAGAATCACACCAGGGTGGTCTACATGTTCTTCTTTTTAAATCCTTTTAATAGATCTTATATTTATCTCTTAAACCCTAGGCATCCACATACCACAAGGTGATGTGTTCGACACGGTTCTGCAGGTGCCATTGTCGGGTCCAGTCGTACCGAACCTGCAAAAATTGGGACTGGATCCCTACAGGGAAATGGTTTCGTCCAAGTCCGACCCTGAACACCCCCTGACTTCGGGGTGGTTTTCACGGACACCCCGGCGACCTCTCAGGGGACGACACTGACGGAGCGAGGGCGCCGAGCCCGGCCGAGGTGTGCTTCATCGAGAGGTGCTTGATGACCTGCAAAAAAGACCCTACCGGATGACCTGGATAGTCTATATATATATATAGGCTTCTTCAACCTCTGGAATGTGAAGTGAATTCTCCATTCATAGGCAGATGGGCAGTGAAAGGATCAAGTCCAAAGAAACCCCAACACAAGCAAAGAAATCGCTACTGATCGTGAGTGGTCCGCCTCTGAAAACATCTCCCGAAGATGAACTTCTGGGTGAAGTCGCGTTTGCGCACCAGCCCCACGAGCGTCCGCTTAAGGCGACAGCATGACGTGGCGACAAAACCTGCAACAGCTCGAAGCACTGCAAGATCTTGGACTGTGGCTTGCTTGAACTGGTGAGGGAGACTTTGCCAAATATGAGTTGAGTTCTACAGCACAGTCACTGGCACGACCAAGAGGTCTCCAGTGGTCAGCAGTCATGGCACAGAGGGACCCTGTTTTTCCCAAACATGAGAATCGATGAGCAGACATGGTCAACCTACCCGGAAAAAAATAGAGCTTGTTCCAGGGGATCTCTTGTTGATCTTGTGGCAGGACACCCAGCCGCGTCAGCTACAACAGCGCCATGAGTGCATGCGACCACGACCAGGCGTTCGGAACTTCTGTAGCCTTTGGTGGAGTGCCAAAGCCCCAAGCCATATCTAACTTAGAAACAGTCTTAGCTTTTTTGATGTTGCTCGTGGTGGCAGGGATATACATCTTCTGGAAAGATCATGGCCCCTTGGAAGACCATTTTCTCGACTTATACTTCCATGATGCTTTCAGGGAGTGCAGCTGTCAGGGACGCTGCTCGTGGCTGGCGGGCTATAATCCTTGCGTTATTTGGGCAAAACTGTCCTGTAGAAGTCGGTAGTTATGAATATGTCTTCGTGAATCATTGAGTATTGCGTTTCTCCAACGCAGAACACGGTCGGTTGCATTCTTTGAGCTAGGGTCATAAAACATCATTAAACCAAAGAAGTGAAAGTTTTTTGTAGCCCCTATCTAGGGCTCCAGTCCTACCTCCGTGTAGGTCTTTCTGATAAGTTTAGAGGATCGTTTTGTCTCTAAGAAGGTAGGACTCAAGCCCTTTTTCCCTACGGGTGAATCACATTCAAGGTTAAGCAGTTAAGCAGAATTCAGGGATTGTGTTATATTGTTCTTTTTGTGTGTGTGTGTTTGAATTCATTCTCCCTATTCTACTTACTTTACTTACTTACTATATACTGTCTATATTATAGACTCCTAATATACTCCATTATACTCCTATTATCTTCCGTTTATTTGCCATTTTTGTGTTTACTTTTCCTGGCTTTTGGACAACAACTCCAAGCAGACCACCCCTTCGTCAGACCCGCCTCACGCGTGAGGCGGACGCCTGGCGCTCGGCACTGGGGCTCGCCACAGCCGTGGCTCCCGATAGGATCGGGCCGGTCCGGGCCGGCCCGGTTTTTGTTGGTTTCTCACCCTAGGCCTCCAAGTACCTTCTCAGAAGGTGTGACTGGACCCTCCTGGCACCCACCCCAGTCCCACCTTCTCAGGTTCGGTACGACTGGAGGCCTAAGGTCAGCGGAAGGCTAAGGCTGACGTGCGCACCGCGCACCTCATTCGTGATCTCGCGCACCGCGCACCTCATCGGACGAACCGAACGAAGGGGAGTCAGCATAGCTGAGTCGATGTATATAAGTGAGTATACGTACCACTGGCTGGACTACGTACTCGTACCTTGCGCTACTAACCGGGATCTCCAGACAGGACCCAGACAGGATGGTCCAGGTATACGGCGTTTGTTTTTGTTTTGAAGACCCTGCTCTTGCGGCAAGCAGTAGTCCTGGCCATCCTGGCGTCCTTGAGCCCCCGGTTTCAGACAGTTTGATGTTCAACATTTGCTTGGGATGGCTGCCCCACTCACGTTACTAGTGGAAACCAACTAGATGTTTAAATGTTTAGTCATTTTCATTATATTGAGATCCTTTGCATAACTAAGTGATTGGGCCTGTGCTAAGATGTGGTAAGCATTCCAAAAGCAATCATTTTTTAAAACCCACCTCGCTATCCGCCTCGCAGGATCACCTGCAATGTCGCGATCCGCCTGCAGGAGCTCCGGTGGTGTCATGGGGTCATGGGATCAGACAGCTGTAGCACCCCAGCATTCCATGGATGTTATATGCGCAACTTAGAGTACTTGCCTACATTGGGATGGTTGAAAAGGGGTCAATGTGGGCAACAAAATCTAGTCTTATGGAGTGGCTAGGGTAGGCAGAGTGCAAGGTGCAACCATTGACCAGTCGGCGATGGAGAGGAAGGAGTCGCCGAATTGCTCAACTTCAAATTCCGAGAAGTCTGCATCGCTACTAGATCTACTAGTAACAAGTGCATCGCTACTAGTAACAAGGTTTGTTGTGCTTTGCCTCCAGGGCGGGGGTCGAACCTCTGTAGCTCCTGTCCTACCTCCGTTTTGGGTTCGGTGGGTCAGGGGCCAGGGCTGGGTGCTAGGCCACGGGCTTTGTCCCAACCTTCTCTTCGGATGTGGGCCCAACCTGGATCATACACTCCGACTCACATTCCATGAAAGTACATGGCATGGCCGCATGGCCTTCATTTTAGTAAGACGATGCTATTCTACAAACAGGCCGGGGCTCCACTTCCATGTGTGTGCCCGACTCGGGCTTCAACATGCTTCAAACATAACCTCAGAAGGGGTTATATAGACCCCCCTAACCCATCCCAACCACCTACAGGTGAGTCAGAGGATGCTTTGAGGTTACCGTTGGATGCTTGGAGATTCTTCAGCCCTCAGTTCAGTCTTTGCATGAGTTGATTGAGCCGAGAACAGATCGGAAGATGAAGGGTTCGCCAGCTTGAAATAAGCCGCCAAAAAGTTGCACAGAAGATTCGCCGAGTATTGGCCGTGCTCTAAACAGCGTCGTGAAACTGTTTTGAAGTGGGAATTGGGAAGAGGGAAAAGAGCCAGAAGATGTTCCGTGAGTTATTGGAAAATAAAGGAATGAAATGACAAACCAGGCAATCAATGGCAATCATCACATTCTACGACATGAAGTATTTGACCAAGCGAGCCCCACCTCAACACAGAACAGCTTGGTCTTATAATCTTCAGATGAGGGGCGCGAGCGTAGCTTTGCCCACAACAAGCTGACGTGCATTGCGTATACGATGATACTTGCGACCAAACTCATAAACACGAATGAATGCACTCAGCTGGTGTGTGACCTTTGTGCTTGTTTACGTCGACCTCCTGCGATATACTGCAAGCAACTGGCTGGCACCCCACAGACTAAGCTTGTTGGGGAAATTAATGAAGTTGTGGTTGGTTTGTGGAGGTGACATTGCGGGAAAACCATTCTGTTCGGGTTCTGTTCGGGGTTGTGGCCACCCAAAGCGGATCATTCCAGTGAAATTGGCCAGTGTTTGAGAAGTGGGGTTTGATTGATGTGTTGGCAGGTAACATTCGTGTTATTGTTACATTGGTTACTCCAATTATAAGGCACTTGATGGTTGAAAGAGTTTCCACGGACCCGCGTTCTTGGTTCGTGTGTTAGAGGACCCATCTGCTTGGTCCAGATCCTTTGAATTTCTGGAATTTGGTGCTCGCCGGCGAATGGAGTCCAACGTCATCACCATGAGTCTCGTGGTTTGGAAGAGTTGGTTTTCGCATGCGGGTGGTCGATGATGTCCACACATTGGGTGGGGCACACAAATGCCCTCTAGAATCCTCTAGATACTGTTGTATCGCAGGTTCTTCAAACAAGGTGTGTGTGTGTGTGTGTGTCAACCCCTGGGCCAAGGGTTTCCTACCGCCACTTCAACCCCCACTTTCTACCCACTGTTTCACCGGCAGGGGGCAGAGGGATCTCCAGTTGTGGCCTCTGCCAACGAAGCTCCACACTGGATGATCAGGAAAACGTACCTGCGCCGTGACACTACTCCACTTTTCCTTGCTGTTTTTTTGATGCCATGGTGGTTGATCATGATACTCTCCCTTCAAACAGGTTTCTCACAGCTGCTTCTAGCCGCCGATTGTCAGCCGCGCTGCACAAGTTTTTCGGACCTTTCACCATGCGGTTCTGTCACCTTCCTTCCCATCGGGAAATTGAGTTAACTGAATACAATTGTCAGAGTGTGTTTCGCTCAGCCGTCCCACTCGGGTGCTGAGTGTAATCCCCGTCATTGGGGCGCTGTCTCATCGTGCAAGCACTAACGGACCTCACCACTTTTCACAGGTACTCCACTGGAAGTCACTGCCACAACCACCGAATTAACTGCCACAACGGCCGCCGGGCCTCACCACGGGAACTGACAGTGCTGCAGC